AAGGAAAAGATTAGTCCAAAGGACTAATGGACCATGGCTACCAAGCCCTCCACCAGACTGAGTCCAGTAAAGCTAGACGGTACCCAGCTACCACCACTGACTGCTCTGACCGGGATCACAACAGAGGGTTCTGGACAGAGCTGGAGAAGGATGTAGAACAAAATTCTAACACACAAAAAAAGACCAGATTTACTGGCCTGACAGAGACTGGAGAAACCCCAAGAGTATGGCCCCGGACACTCTTTTAGCTCAGTGGTGAAGTCACTCCCGAGGTTCACCGTTCAGCCAGGGATTGGACAGCCCCATAAAACAAAATGGGACTAATGAGGCACAGCAGTCCAAGGACACGGACTAGAAGGCAGGAGGGGACAGGAAAGCTGGTGAAAGGGAACCCAGGGTTGAGAAAGGACAGCGTTGACGGGTCATGGGGTTCTTAACCATTGTCACAGGGCAATACGTGTACTAACTATTTAATGAGAAACTATTCTGTTCTGTAAATCTTTATCTAAAGTACAAAAAAAAATAATAATATGATTATTTATGTTGAGATCAAATTGACAACAGCAACTCAAAAGGTTTGATGGGAAGCCTAGGGGGCAGTGAGTTGAAGACAACAGTGATGGAACAATTTGGGAAAGGATAGTGAGAATAGCAGCACAACTGGAAGAACGTAATCAATGTCACTGAATTGTACATGTATAGAAACTTTTGAAATGGTGTATCTTTGGCTATGCATGTTTTCACCAAAAAAGAAAAAAGGTCCTCCAAGGTCAAGGAGGGAGAGTGTTGACATGTTGTGGGGTTGTTAACCAATGTCGTAAAACAATCTGCGTACTGTGTAATGAGAAACTATTTGTTCTGTAAACCTTCACCTAAAGTACAATAAAAAAAAAATTTAAAAAGAAAATAAAAGGCAAATCATAGTCTGGAAGAAAATATCCACAATACATCTATCTGGCAAAAAATCTGTATCTAGAACACAGCTTCTCAACCTCAGCACTACTGACATTCTGGGACCCAAACTCTTTACTGTGAGGGGCTGTGTTGTGCACTGCAGGGTGTTTAACAGCATCCCAGCCAGGCCTGTACCCACTAGATGCTAGGAGCAGTTCTCCGTCAGTTATGTCAACCAAAAATATCTCCAGACAGTGCCAAATATCCCGAAGGCCAAAACTGTCCCCAGCTGTTCATTACTAACCTAGAATGTATGAACGAATCTTACAAACCAGTAATAGGATGATGACTTCATAAAAAGGGGACAAATAATTTAGAGAGACACTTCTCAAAAGAAAATATACAGATGGCCAATAAGCACATGAAAAGATACTTAGTATCATTAATCATAAAGGAAATGCAATTAACTACCCTGGTGGTGCAGTGGTTAAGAGCTACAGCTGCTAACCAAAAGGTCGGCAGTTTGAATCCTCCAGGTGCTCCTTGGAGACCCGATGTGGTTCTACTCTGTCCTTTAGGGTCGCTATGAGTCACAATTGACTCAACGGCAACAAGTTTGGTTTTTTCTTTGGTTTTACAGTTACAAAAGTAGAACAGCAGTCACTTCAAGCTGGGGGTGTCAAAGGGGACTCATTATAAATGAACGTAAGAAAAACACTATAAGATGATAGAAATACTCTATATCTTTTGTCAAAACTCACTGAACTATACACTTTAAATGCGTGCATTTTCTCATCTATAAATAACGTGCATGCTCCATGATAGTCAAGAACATAGACTGGGTCTGATTCCTAGCTTAGCCATTTCTACCTTGTATGACCCTGACTAAGAAACTTAATCTCTTTATGCTACAGTGTCCTCATCCATAAAAGGGGAATAAAAAAATTCCAACCTCACAGAGTTATTTTAAGGATTTAATGACTTAATATTTGTGAAGGGCTTAGAAAGTTTCCTTGAATAAAATAAGTGCTATGTGTTTTGTTAAAGAGTTACTCCCCATCACAAGAAAAATCTACTTCATGTAATTAATCCCATTCTAGTTTATATATGTATATATATAAACAATATATGATGGTTTCCAAATTGTCACTAAAAAACACATTATCTGAGAAAAAAACCCAGTAAAGCCTTTAAGAAAATTAAAAAAAAGCTGTTTATAGGAAAATGTCCAACCACATACATGTTGTGGTCCCATAAGGTTACAACAGAGCTCAGAAATCCCGCTAAGAGAACAGGACACAGCGGACGTCACAGGATACAGCCTATACAACAGCTTCCCACACGCAACACGTGTTATCTCACGTCTCGTATACAATCGACTGAGCTGCCAGGTGTATTTAACTCAAATTTTTAATATAATAGGCTTTATGCAGTCTGCTCTTAAGTACAAGTTGTCCATAAGCTGGACGTTCATAACCTGGGGACTACCTGCCTGTAATACGGTGTCGGAACAACATCCAAATCACATGATGTCCTATTTCACAGAACATATTATGTTAAGTGACGCACGACTGCAGACCGTATTTTTACGCAAATAACGCGCACCTTCTGTGTTTGTTTGCTGGCCGTGCACCCCACCCCCACCCCTGCAAGGCATCCTTGCAAGCACGCTATGCTAATTTTTCTTCACAGCAACATGTAAAAACAAAACTGGCATCATGGCAGCAACTATGAAAATACCTCATGGTGGGGGGAGCATGGTCAGCAAACAAACGCAGAAGGCACAAGTTATCTGCATAAAAATAACTACTCTAGATCAATATTATTAAAAAATACATCAAACATTATTTCAAAGGTAAAATAACTGAAATTAAATATCTAAAATTTAAAAAAAAACCTTAACGTTCTGACAATCATACCAAATGAGTCTTATATTAATACAATTTTGTTTCCTAATTTAAGCAAGCTCATAATTTCAGGCTAACAGCAAGCTCCTTCAACTCAGGAAAAAATGGGAGTTAACAGGATTTTTCTGTTAATTGTAAAGATTCTGGCATTTTGATTTGTGTATCTGCTTAGAATTGAGACAATCTGTACATTTACAGGTTGGTAGGAGACAGTATGATGTAAATTATAAAATCTGGATGATGTAGAATACCCTGAGACTTTCCAACACTAGACTATATACAGAATTGGGATAAATTTCCTCGTAGAAGCTGATAAACCAAAAAAAAAAAAAAAAAAAAAAAACCTCACCGTCATTAAGTCGATTCCGACTCAGAGCCATCCTACAGGACAGAGTAGAACTGCCCTATAGGGTTTCCAAGGCTGTAAATCTTTATGGAAGCAGACTGTCACATCTTTCTCCCGCAGAGCCACTGGTGGACTCAAACGGCCAACCTTTCGGTTAGCTGTCTAGTGCTTAACCACTATGACACCAGGGCTCCTCAGAAAAATCAGATACACATAAAATCTATAAGATGCCAGTCAGTATATCAGTATACAAAGTAGACAGACATTAACATTAAAATGGCATTATTTAGCTTCTCTTGGAACAAGCACAGTTCCCAATCCTCTCTCATACCAGGGTAATATTGAGAGTACATCAATTAACCGACTGCTTCATTCAATGAACACATGTTTTTTGAGCACCTACTCCATGCCTGGCCCTGTTCTAACCACTGGTCATGCAGTAATAAAGGAAAAAACAAAGCAAAACAAAAATTTAGTGGCAGGAAGCAGACAACAAACAGACGATAATGTACCGCGGATGATGACAGATGTTATAGAGAAAAAAGAGCAGGGAAGAAAGCTCGGGAGAGCTGGGGATGGTGACAGCTGTTTTCATACAAAGTGAGTCGGGAAAGGCCTCGCTGCTAAGGTGAGCTGTGAAGTCTGAAGGAAGTGAAGAGTGAAACAAGAACATATCTGAGGGAAGAACGCTGTACACAAGGAATCGGCAAGTGCAAAGGCCCTGAGGCTGAAACATGCCTGATCTGTTTGATGGACAGCAAAAGGATCAACACTGATGGGATGAATAAGAAGAACCGACACATCCTGCTGACACTGTGGACGTGTGTGGAAAAGGATGGCTACAAGGTTTCAGGACTGGAAACTGAAACAACAGAGTTGCCATTTACTGACACGGCAAAGACTACTGAACTACCAGTTTAAAAAGAGATGAGGCTTCCTATTTTACTTACATTAAGTTTGAGACGTCTCTTAGACATCTCAATTGAAACATCAAGATGACAGCTGGATATTGTGCAGAAAACTAACATAGCAGGCCAGAGACTGCTACTCTTTGAAAAGTCAGCTTGCAAGGCTGACTCTGGCTGGCGTCTGAGAATGCAGATTTCAGGTAGGTTCCCTCCATTCTCTACAGGTAAGAATAGCTCGCTGTGCCTAAGTTATTTGTGCCAACAATGTGGCTTATGCAAACACCTGCCTTCCTTCCGGGCACCCAGAATCCTGGTGTGTGCTAGGCAGAGGTCTGTGTGATCAGCCCCCAACGAAAATCTCTAATGAGTTGGCAGATATTAGGGACTTTCCACAGGTGTTGTAAAAATTCACTGCTGGAAGAACTAAGTGGGTTCTGTGTGACTCCACTAGGAGGGGACTCTTTGGAAACCTGTGCCCCGCATCATCTGGACTTTGCCCCAGGCACCTGTTCTCTGCGTTCATTCTGCTTTGCATCCTCTCACTGTAATAAACCACAGCCAAAAGCACCTCTCTGAGTCCTGTCAGTCCTCCTGGCAAACCACTGAGTTTGGGTGTACCATACCTTCAGGACCAGTGGTAGGAGAGGGACAGAGAGAACACAGCCAGCACTGGGCTGGGTTCAGGAGAAAGCAACATTCTCAGAGCACAGCCAGGTTTCAGCTGGAGCCAGCTGGTGAAAAGACTCGCTACTGAAATATCGATGTTTCTCCCCCTCTTTACCGTATCACTCCCCTCACAATGAGTGGTCTTATTTTTATCAGAACCTAGAAAGAAGGTCTGGCAGCTAACGAACAGCCCAGGTTAGTTTTGATATTTATGGGCAAGCTCTTTTAAACTGTAGGATATTATATACACCAGCAAAACGCAGCAGAAACAATTCTTACCTATTTCACTTCCACTTCCTCCATCTTGAACACTCCACAGGATGATGCTGCTCTCTGAGGCTACAGCAACCATTTTATCTTTGTCTCCATGTGGACCTCCAACCACTTTTGCATTTAAAGCCACTCGTTCAATAGTCCAATCCAAATACGGACTTGTAAACACTTGTTGCCATCCTGAAGACTCTTTGATTCTGTTAAGAAAAAACAGATGCGTAAGCTAGACCCAGCAGCAATTAAGCAAACAATACAAATAAATATGCCAAAAAAAAAAAAAATTAACCACAGCTACTACCTACCATTTATTAAATATAAGATTTTGTTAATATATGTCATCTACAAAGCAGAATATTATTTCTGACTGAGGTACCTTACACTTACATAACACAGGACATACAAAACCAAAACCAAACCCAACGCCGTGGAGTCGATCCCGACTCATAGCGACCCTAAAGGACAGAGCAGAACTGCCCCACAGGGTTTCCAAGGAGTGGCTGGTGGATTCCAACTGCCAAGCTTTTGGTGAGCAGCCGAGTTCTTAATCACTGCACCACCACGGCTCCACAGGGTATTATAAACCACTTAAAAGGAGATTTGAGTTCTATACTTCTGCAACAAAGTTTAGAAAAGGTCTCCAAACTTAAAAATTTTTTAAAAGCTTAAAAAAAAATAAGTATCTTTCACTTTTCTCCACAAAAAGTACCACTGTCGTTTTCTATGCATAGAAATAAGCCAACAAAAATCAGCATCTGGGGATTATACTGAAGCTACCTGCTCTCAATCCACTGGGATTAGGTCCTGCAGTTGACAGGCTATCCGGGCAAACCAAGGGGGTGATCTGGTGTACCAGTCGCATCCCAGCATCTTGGCACAGTCACAAGAATGGGTGGAGCTTTACAAAGCCTTCTCTGAGGACTGGGTTTTACAGATCTAAAGGCAAAATCTTATGGGACTAGTCATTTCCCGTTAAAAAGGGGCTTACCAGGGTTCAGATTTGCAGTGGATTGAATACATATGTATTCTTTAGTATTTAACTTCTCTGAAAAACACCCTTTAAATGTATACTTGTCTGTCCTACCTGAATTTAAGTCTTTTAGACATGTATTCTATGTGATTCTACAACAAGTCTTCTAAATATTCAGAACCTGAACAGTTGTGAAATTATCGCAATGAATGACTTGAACTCTAACTACGGGATATCTGCTTTTGAAGCTCCACTAAACAAATGATGTAACAAAGTTATAAAGCTTCTCTCTGTCCTACCTAAAAAAAAAAATAAAAATAACATGAAGAAATTAAGAAGTGTTCTTCTACATGCTATCTGTCATGGTCACTGCAAAATCATACTTAAGCATTCAAAAATCACAGCGACCAAAAGACCTAAGTGGAAACACTTTAGCTCCGTTTTAGTTTGAAGACACGTGCTAAAGTAATACAACTCTAATTTGTAAAAATACACAATTCAGCCTTCATATTAATTTGAAGAATTAACAATTTGCTTACTTAAACTTTAAGGCAATACAGAGAAAACTATCAATTTTTCCTAAGCACTGTATAGTTTGTAATTACCCCCTTCAGCCACCAGATGGGATTCGTGAGTTGAGATAAACAAATAGAGATAATTACTTAGTAGACTATAAAACCTCACACTGAGGAATGAAATCTAGATGCTTTTACAGGGACCCTAAGACTGGGGTTGTCAGTGCTTCAGGACAGTACCAACATACTACCTTGTGGATGTGCGCACACACCAGGTCCATTATAGAGTTCACAAAGAGCTGCTGAATTAATGGTGTGAATGATGTACTCTAGTGATCGTTAATTTAGCAATATAAATAATAATATGATGTGATCTAATACTCTGCATAAATCATGCTTTTAGATTACTTTTATCTACAGCAATCAAGGTATTGTAAAATAGATGCCAAAAAGAGTAAAAGAATCAGAACACCATATTTGAAAGTGATTATAACAATTACAGAATTTAACTCATTAAGAAGTGACCAACGTAGAGTCTTACTCTGCCAAGCCCTAGAGCACAGAAGACCGACCGTTACAGACAGAAAGTCACGTAACTCCCACTAATAATCCCATCTGGAGCCATTTAATACAACAACGGACTGATTCAGAAGCTAGATAAAAAATAAGGAATAACCTCAAGACATCTCAGTTATACCACAGTTTACACTGTCTGGGAAACATTTATGACATATTAAGGCTATCAGCAGTATTTACCTAATCAGCTGTGAAAACAAAAACAAACTAAATCTAACTAAAAACCAAACCAAACCCACTGATGTCGAGTCGATCCCGACTCATAGCAACCCTACAGGGCAGAGTAGAACTGCCCCCATAGGGTTTCCAAGGAGCGCCTGGTGGATTCGAACTGCCGACCTTTTGGTTAGCAGCCAAACTCTTAACCACTATGCCACCAGGATTTCCAAATCTAATTAGGACATACAAAAATGGTTAAAATATGTAGGGAAAAACCCTGATGACTAAAAGAAATAATTCTTCAATCTAAAAATATAAAATCAGAATTACTTAAAAACTTGTTTTGTTTGTTAGGTGCTGTCGAGTTGATTTTGACTCATAGTGACCGTATGTGTCAGAGCAGAACTGCCCAAAAACAAACCCCCTCCTCCCAAAAATAAAAATCAAGCCATTACTAGCATACATACCTGTAGCACACAGCAAAATGGGCATAGGCAGCTGCGATCCAGTTGTGATGGCCAGCTACTATTAGCACCTTTCGTGGACCCACAGGAGATCCTGCTGATTTTAGAAAGAGAGACGATTTATGTTCTAAAGCCAGGATGGGCAAACTGCAGCCCATGGGCCAATTCCAACCTCCTACCTACTGTAGTAAATTAAGTCTTCTTGGAATACAGCCCTGCTCACTTGTTTATATACTGTCCACGCCTGCTTTTGTGATATAATGGCACATCTGCGTGGTTGTGACAGAGGCTATACGGCCCACAAAGTCCACAACATTTACCATCTGGCTTTTTAGAGAAAAAAATGATTCAGATTCAGAGCAAACAGAAGAAAGATCACATGCATTTTAAATAAAAAAAATTACATGTTACATGAGACTTTTCAAGTTATAAATGATAATCTAGATTTAAAAAAAAATAAAAGGCAAAGATCACTTCTTTTATTTAATTACCCAATACCCCCATAACTAAAAACACACATATTTTTCTTTATCCATTTATGTCGTCAGTGCTCACCGAGCCTAGCAGTCTCTTCTCCAGCTCCAGACAGAGCAGGCTGGGCACCATTTCCCCGAGCTTCACCTTCTGCAGAATTCAGTCCATTTCTACAATCAGCAGAGGATCTCGCTGTGCTATTTATTTTACGGCTAGGAATACCTATTAAAGGGGAAGAGTAAGACCAATTTTTTTCTAAGTTAACCTACCAAAAATAAAAGAATAAAATTCCAACTGTGTAATATACAAACAGGGACTTCATTAGCCAAAATATACCTACCAATACAGCACGTTACTACAAATAATCACCATAAAAAAACAAAACGAAAAATTCAACAGATTTCTGATATTTACCATATTACTTATGATAATTAAGACTAAGATTTATTGTACTAGGCTCCATTTTTACCTAGCTCTAATTCTCTGAAACAAACGTGTGGTGAAATGAGTCCCTTTATGTGGCCTTTTACCTTGGCTCTGTGGAAAAACCGCTTGCGAGATTTCCCCCTAAGCCCCGAGGAGTTACCATTGCCCTAGTCTTTGGAGAAGCAACTGGGCAGGCAGAGAGGTAGGGGAGAGGATTCCCATGTTGTTTTCAATCCCAGAGTTTGTTACTCTTGTCTAGGTTGACTGACATCTCCTGGGTAAGCTGTAAACAATCTGATAGTTTGATACTATTTTTTTTCTGGCCTGGGCTGTAGTCTACGCCATGACTGGTCTATTTTATAGACCTTGCAGGGAATGGTTAATTTACTATGCAAATAGTGGTGCATAAAACCATCCAATAGGACTGAGTGACCTGCAGTCCACCGAGGGGATTGGCTGGTTGGTGGTTTTGCTAGAAGAGCCATGCCTTGAAACTGACAAGGAGTTTGCTTATATAAGCAGCCAACCCCACAGGTTTTTAGAGGCAAGGAGAGAGTCCAGAAGAGATGAGCAGCACAGAGAGAGAGAGGAGGCGAGGAACCCCCTAAAAGAGCTGTAATACAGGTCAAACGATTTAATGTTGAAGATGGCAAGAGGTGTGGAAGGGGCAGTAGCAGAGCTGGCAGCAAGAGGCCCAGGAGGGGCCCCTCAGCATAGCCAACAGAGATGGCAGAAAGCTGCTACTAAGAGAATAGCAGCTGAGTAAGCTGCTTCACTGGCTATGAGCTGGGCCAGTCAGCAGCGAGGAGGGCAAGGCAGAGGAGGCCTACATGGCCAAGAGGGCGTACATGGCTGAGACAAGAGCTTGCCTGCTCGCACGGCCAAGAGCAGTTGAGAGAGCTATCCTACACTGCCTCGGGGGAGCCTTCCAAACTTGGCCTCTGTGCTTCTTGATCCTGATCCTGAGTTGTTCCTGATAATTCCAAGTTAATCCTGATCCTAAGCTGTTACCTGTTACTTCTCTATAAAACCACGTAACTACGAGGATGGTCTGTGAGTTCTGTGTCATCACTGCAACAGATTATCAAACATAGCAGAAAAATAGAGTGCTCTTGGGGGAAGAGCGGGTGTCAGAAATGGTGAAGAAGCTGGAGAGTGGACGTAGGTCTGACCTCCATCTCAAAGGACAGAGCTTTGTGCTGATCCTGAGAATTCTCCTGACTCAGGAATCTATAAGAGTCACTGTCCTAGATTCCAAAACCAATCATTAAGTCACTGGGTCGGTCTGTCAGTCCTTCCACTGATGGAACAGGTACTACATGCTGTGTACTGTGCACTAGTTTAAGAGCTTTCTTTTACTTGGCAGGGAGAACTTCCCTGACGTGGAATCTTGTTCAGAAGCCCAGCGTAACACAGAGGAAGGGCCCAGATGGCACGAGCCTCGCCTGCCTTGTCCTGTAGCTGACACGTTTCTGCTGAACCCCGGGAGCGCCACAAAAAGGAATCTGACAACCAATACTCTACCACAGGGGTCGGCAAACCACGGACACGGCCAAATCCTGCCCAACGGCTGTTTTTATAAATAAAGCTGTACCGGACACAGCCACGCCTATTCGTTTATGTAGTGTCTATGACAGAGCTGAGTAGTTTACACAAAGAACTTGTGGCCCCCAAAATATCTGGCTCTTTACAGAAAAAGTATGCCAAATCCCTTTTTTAACATATAGTGTGACTTAGTTTCTGTTGACAACAAAGTTCCCATCATTACTACTAGATTTGTAAAAGAGGAACTCAAGCACCAAAGAATAGTTTTTCTACTTCTGTTTGTACTTTTAAAAAGACTAAACAGAACAAAGCAGAAGTACCTGGCGGAGGCAAGTAGCCGTGAAACAGGACGCTGCCACAAGATGAGCGCTCCAGCTCTTCACATAAGAGAAGCCTTCTTACTAAAAACATTTCAAAGCAAACGTGTCAAGAGTATACGCAAACAGGAAAACAGTTAAAGAGAATAAGGAAAGAAAAGGAAAATATTTATGTTAACTCAGAGTTGACAACATCTTTTTAATGTTTTTAATGTGAAAATCCACAAAACTAAGCACTGAACTACTCCATCAAAAATTAGGACCTGTTATAAAACACATTTCATTTGTGCAAGTTTAGTTCACAAAATGTCAAATAAGAAACAGAAAGTATCAGGAGAACACGTACCTAATGGAGTAATTCCGTAAAATTCTGCCTCATGCCTGAGAACATTAATACTCACTCCCCTACAAAGAAACAAACAAACAGTTCAAATTCTCCAACACCGGCGATACGGATCCTTGTAGCAAAAGAAAAGAGTACTAACGTGAAAAAGTCATAAGGCTTTAAAACTTATTTTTTACTTCATAATGTTCTTTATTTCTAATATTCTAATCGTTTGGAAAAAGTCTAAATAAAAACTGCCTGTAAACAAAAATACTCTCTTAACTACTTAAAAATTATTAATCTATAGATGAACCATGTGACCAAGACATTAGGGCTTTTATAGGGTTAGTACAAGTAAAGTATTGAGAAGTATCTGATAAGGCAAACAACTGGGTAGAAATTATTTTATGGCATTAACTGTTTTTAAACTTGATCATAATTATTTTTGTACATATTTTAACGTCTCCAACTATAACGTAAGCTCCTTGAAAGCTTGAAAGCATGATCTACTTCTGATCTATTTCTGTACACCTCACAGTGTCTAACAGGGTGCTAGTAATTATGTGATAAATATTTGTTTAATGAATAAATTCAGATGCATGGCTCTCTTCTCATCAGAAACCAAAGATAAAAGTGAAATAGAAAACAGGAGGAAAAAAAGACCGCCTTTAGGAAGGCTATGTCACCCAGATGAACACGGTACTACTATACAGCAGTATGTGTATGTAATGTGAAAATAAAAAGTGAAAAGGACGGAAGAATAAGAGTTTAAAATACTAACGATTCATTTTAGGTTTCTTTAAAGATATTCCCTGGGTTCAGTAAACACATACAACCCAATATTAAATTGCTTATATTTGTAGAACTGGTTGTGACTAGTTTAACACAAGAATGGTTATTTTTATTTTTTACTCTGCTTCAAAAGCGTTTATGCCAACAGCACAGCAGTACTGGCTAATTATAAGGCGGCTCAGGACACAATCAACAGTTCTTGAGTTCCAGGCGCCTGGGGAGGACAGGCAAACAAATACGGTAATTACAATAGTGTGGTAGGAGGGCACTACAGAAGTTCTGTGCAAGAACCAGAATTAGAACACAGTATTTTTGTTTGTTTGTTTACATTTCTTCCCCTTTTCTTTTGGACGGGACTGTTCAGAATTTAAAAACATCTAGGCCTCTTTTAAGTGAAGGAAGGCAGCAATTTGTAATAAAAGCAGTCAGTAAACACGGATATGTAAACTCATTCTGCCTTTCATGGGTGATCTAGCTATGCATTAGTCACAAGGATACTGACCTTCTAGAAGTAAATTTAGGTTTCTTTAATCAAATGATACGGATCAAATTATTTTACCCAAGAAATTAGTAGTCAGTAATGTAATTCCTACCTCCACCTAATATCAGGCGAAAGAGCAAACAAAAAAGGCCCCAACAAATTCTTTCATTTACACAATAAATATGCTCAGAAATACTGAGCACCTACTATATGCACTGTTTTAGTACTGCAAATATAGCAGGGGCGAAAACAAAAAAATCTCTGCCCTCAGGAAGCTAGTAAAGGTAAGCCAAAAATCATATATTATTATTAAAAAGCAGCTCAAATAAGCAGCCAGATTTTTTAAGTTTTATCTAAAAAAAAATATTAATCGAATCTTAGTGAAAGTTCATCAGGAATATATAAGATAAAAAGGACAATTAAAACAATTAACTAAAGCTTCCTGATAGGAATCAAGACTGTAATTTAAGACAGCAAATTTAAGAAATAGTTTAAACGGTCGTGCATTTATCAAAACTTGGGTGAAGGGTAAGACAGTGCACAATACTGGGGAAGCCAGCACAACTTGTACAAGGCAAGGTCATGGAAGCTCCACAGACACATCCAAACTCCCTGAGGGACCTAACTGCTGGGCTGAGGGCTGTGGGGACCATGGTCTCGGGAAACATTGAGCTCAACTGGCATAACAGTGTTTATAAAGAAAATGTTCTACATTCTACTTTCGTGAGTAGCGTCTGGGATCTTAAAAGCCTGTGAGCGGCCATCTAAGATACTCCACTGGTCTCACCCCTTTTGGAGCAAGGAAGAATGAAGAAAACGAAAGATACAACGAAAAGATTAGTCCAAAGGACTAATGGACCACATCTACCATGGCCTCCACCAGACTGAGTCCAGTGCAACTAGATGGTGCCTGGCTACCACTACTGACTGCTCTGACAGAGATCACAATAGAGGGTCCCAGACAGAGCTGGAGAAAAATGTAGAACAAAATTCTAACTCACAAAAAAAGACCAGACTTACTGGCCTGACGGAGACTGGAGAAACCCCAAGAGTACCATCCCCAGACACCCTTTTAGCTCAGGAATGAAGTCATTCCTCAGGTTCACCCTTCAGCCAAAGATGAGACGGGCCCATAAAACAAAACAAGACTAAAGGAGCACAACAGCCCAGGGACAAGGGCTAGAAGGCAGGAAGGGACAGGAAAGCTGGTAATAGGGAACCCAAGGTCAAGAAGGCAGAGTGTTGACGTGTTGCAGGGTTGTCAACCAATGTCATAAAACAATGTGTACTAACTGTTTGATGAGAAGCTAGTTTGTTCTGTAAACCTTGATCTAAAGTACAATAAAAAACAAACAAACAAAAACAAAAGAACCAGTAGCAAGTGTCCACTATGCATCAAGCGTAACGACAGATCACGGGGATATAGAGGAAACAGTACTCGCTCTTTTGGAGCTTAAAGTCTAGTGAGAAGATTAAAAAAAAAAACACCGAACCAAATTCATTGCCATCAAGTCAATTCTCACTCATAGCGACCCTACAGGAGACAGCAGAACTGCCCCATAGGGTTTCCAAGCCTAGCAGTGGCTAACTGCTCGGCTAACCAAACGTTTGGTAGTTCAAACCTACTAGCAGCTCCGTGGGAGAAAGACGTGGCAGTCTGCTTCTGCAAAGATTACAATCTAGGAAACCCTACGGGGCGATCAACTAGATGGCAACTTTTTTTTTTTTTTTTTTAATCTTTATGGAAGCAGGCTGCCACATCTTTCTCCCCCAGAGTGGCTGGCGGGTTCAAACCACCAACTTTTCAGTTAGCAGCTAAGCATTTAACCAGTACATCACCAGGGTTCCTTGGTGAGAAGACAGAGCACTAAAAAACTTGTTAGGTGCCACAGAGTTGACTTCTGACTCATCGTGACCCCAACTGACAAAGCAGAACTGACCCATAGGGTTTTCTTGGCTGAAATCTTTCTCCCGTGGAACCGCTGGATGGGTTCAAACTACTATCCTTTGGGTTGGCAGCCAAGCACTTACCATTGCACCACCAGGGCTCAGTATGAGTCAGAAGCGACTCGATGGCACCCAAAACAACACTGAAAAAGTCCTAAGTGTAACAAACGCTGGGAGAGCAGCAGTATAGGAAACCATGAACGTCTATATTAGATGAACAAGAAGAGACCACCAACAAAGTTATGTTTAAGCTGAGACCAAAAAGGGCTGAAAGGGTGCGTGAGAGAAATGAAGCAGGGGCAGGTTACAGAGTCTTAAGAAACAAGATAACGTCCAAAATTCTTATTCATCAGCCAATAACATTTTAGATAAGGGTTTTACGCAAAGCAGTCACCTGATCAGGTTTCTATTTTTAGAACACTGTTCTGGCTACCATGTGGAAAACAAGTTGGAGGAGTGCAAGCGTGAGGGCAGGGAAGCTGGTTAGGGAGCTGCTGGCGTTCTCAAGGAGGAGAGACTACAGTGGCCTGGATCTAGGAAAGTTGTGTTCTGAGGTAACTTTTAAGTAAAAACAGTCTTGAGAAATGACTGTTTCTTCATAAAATACACCAAAAAAACACTTACCTATCGATAAGGATTTACTTTAAAAGGGTCCATTTCTTACCTTAAGTCTAGCTCCTTTGTCCGAAGAAAATTTAAAATGGGTGCAAACGCCGCTGGATCTCTATCAATAAATATCTGTAAATGAAGAATTATTTTATTTTCATACTACAAATTAAGCTTCTAACTTTAATATCTATAACACTAACACAGAGAACAAAGACTAAATTATTTAAATACTATTATTTTATTGATTCTACCTCTAACATTCTCATGTTTCTAAAATTGGAATGAAGCTTATGACCATGTGTATTTAATGTGGTAATGTCTTTTATTTCCCCTGAAAAGCTATTATTAAAACAACTGATAGTATTTTAATATGTAGGAAAAATGGTATGTAATAAGTCAGTTTTCCCATTTCTATTTATTGATATTTTTGGTAGTCTAAAAGCGACATCTGAGGGAAATTTTTTATCTGAATTATATCATAGAATCCAATAAACTCTTTAAAAACACTGTACATAGTACTTTCTTCTGTCGAATCATTTATTATTGATGACACTGATTATGATTTACATAATCTGCGATTCACACAGGAATCATTAAAACCACATACCTGTAATGCACAGAGAGCACTAATAAAAAGTAAAGACCACACTCTGCTGACAAACTGGAAAGAGTATTACTCTCACAACACAAAAGGAGCAAACTATCAGGAACCTAACAGCCACATTTCTATCCACGACCTCAATTTCCTCAAGGGCTAGCGAAGCGTGAAACAAACCAAACATTTTTAAAAAAAATAACAAACACAGCACCACAGAATATGTAAGGGGGAAGTCTGTTGTGGTTAGGTGGCGTCCAGTTGATTCCGACTCCTAGCGACCCTATGAACAACAGAACAAAACACGGCCTGGTCCTGAGCCATCCTCACAATCATTGCTGTGTTTGAGACCAAAGAGGGAAACTAAAATGCTTAAAAAAAATCTTTTGGAATTAAAAGTATTAACTATTTAAAAGGGAGTCACTGGATCGCGCAAGTGATTAACGTGCTTGGCAGCCAATCAAAAAGTTGGAGATTCAAGTCCACCCAGAGGCACCTCTGAAAAAACGCTGGTGATCTACTTATGAAAAATCAACTACTGAAAACCATATGGAGCAAAGCTGTACCCTGACACACATGGAGTCATCATGAGTCAGAATCAACTCGGTGGTAACTTTTTTTTTTTTTAGCTTTAAAAATGGCATCTTTATTCAAACTTGAGAGAAGTCAAGTACTACGAAGTACACTGCTATAACAAAACACATATTCTGATTATATTTTAATTAAAGGATCACTTTTCCAATAAGCTAAAAAATTCTAATCAGTTACCACAGCAAACTTTCCTTTACATCTGCCTATTAAATATATTGTTTTTCTTTTCAATCAAGTAAGTTCCACTGAAAACCAACATATTTTAAACAATTCATGTAACACTTATACACGTAGCTAGACTACTTTTAGCAAGGCCCAATTAAAAACTGTCACAAATGGTATGTTTCTGAATAAAAATAAAATAACTACATAAGAAAATGATATGAACTAAATCCAATTTTCCCATAAAAATGATCCAAGCCAAGCAGTCCAGGGGAATGAGTGATTCCTAGTGAAATACGTAACTGACAGTTTACAAGAACGTGTACTAACACTATTTTGAATCAATTATAAATAAAATTAAACACCTTAAAAGCTTCTATGTCAATTTGACATAGGAACGGTGGCAAATAATAAAACTCTTTATGCTGTGATTTGCGTATATACAATGAATACGATTCTTCTAGCGTCATAAGTTCTTGCTTCTGTTTTCAGGAGACCCAATCGGAAGTTGAACAACATCACAAATTTACATCGTATTACTGATGTCTTTCTGATAATCTCACGGAGACATCTGCAAATCTCACCAGAGCAAATAACACCACTGGTCACTCAGTCAACTTCAAACAGAAGCCGTTGTTTTTATGAGGGGCCACTCTCATCAACACCAGTCATTTACTGCACATATTGCTGAGAGAATTATTACTGGCGTTTAAATGCATGAACCAATTCTTTTTTGCAGTGGAACTTTATAGTTCTTTAATTCCCTCACTCCATCACTGCTGCCTAAGTTCATAAATTTATTTTCATAAATCAAAAATTGTAGAACTTTATCAATCTATAACATTTTACCATCCTAATTCAACATTTTAAAAATTTAGTATTTACACTCATTTATTGTTAAAGGAGCCTGGTGGGGCAAGGGTTAAACACTTGGCTACTGTGACCCTTAAGGCTGTGTGTCAACTTGGCTGGGCCATGATTCTCAGTGGTTTGGCAGTTATGACGTAGTTGGCAATCACATGATGATGTGATCACTTCCGTGATGAGATACGACATGTGATCACCTCCATGACAGGATCTGCTGTGAGTAGCCAGTCAGCTGAAAGGGAGTTTTCTTGGGGGTGTGGCGTGCATCGAATATAAGTGGACTTTCTGGCAAGACTCACAGGCTTTTGTTTGCACTGGATACTGCAGCTGGCTCCTGTTCGTCTGATCCCCAGTTCTTGGGACCTGAGCTAGCAGCTTACCTGCCACTTGCCCGCAGATCTTTGGATTCTTTGATCTTCACAGCCTGTGAGCAAGAACTTGCTGTCTGACCTGCCAATCTTGGTTTCTCCAGCCCCTGTGGCTACATGAATCAGGAGAAGCCTCTATACTGACCCAGACTTGGGACATTCCAGCTTCTACAACCACGTGAGCCATTTCCTTTATATAAATCTTTCTGTATATATATTTATACAATTTACTGTTTTGCTTCTCTAGAGAACCCAGCTTAAGATAGCTGCTAACCAAAAGGCTGACAGAACCTACCCAACAGCTGCATGAAAGAGATGGCGACCTGTTCTCCTATTAATATCGTTGCTGTTGTGAACCATCGAATCTGTTCTGACTGATAGCGACCCTACAGGACAGAGTAGAACTGCCCCATAGGGTTTCCTAGGCTGTAATCTTTACAGGAGCAGATTGCCAGGTCTTTTCACTTGAAGAGCTGCTGGTGAGTTCGAATCACTGACCTTTCAGTTAGCTCAGTGCTTAACCACTGCACCACCAAGGCTCCTTCCCGTAACGATTATAACCTAGAAAACCCCATGGGGGCAGTTCTATTCTGTCATGAGTTCACATGAGTCAAAATCAACTCAATCGTATCTAACAACAACAACATTTATCATTAAAGTTTCAATTATTGGTGAAAAGTAGTTATTATTTCCTTTATTATCGACGTGTGCTCTGATCCTACAATCACTATAACAGAGTAGGCAAACTGCTGTAGGCAGTATTCCCAGTTTAGGGCTCTCCTCTATAGTTTTTATACAAACACTGTACGTGACAAGAAATAAAAACCTGTAAGTACATATTTGCCACTTTTATTTAGTGGTTATTAAAATACTAGCTTTTCTATCTTCTGAAAGTCACTACATAATAAGGATCAAGCGTTATAAGCATTACATGATCTAACAGAAATACACATTAACATTATACTCACAGCACCAGTTTCATCTCGAAGCGTTGAAATTCTTCCACTCAGCAAACTAGAAGCCGTTAACAATAAGCTATTGTTAGTTTTTAAAAACAGTATAAATAAATGTCTTAAATTTTTATCAAATCTCAAAGACTACTACAAATAAGTCACCCTATATCAAAGTAAAAATAAAACAAAAAACATTGAAACAGTTAACGTTTTTACTCAGAAAATAAAAAATATTAATTTAACTGACAACAAAATTTTTTATTGGCAAATAATCAAATATGTTTAAAATGATACTAATTATATGAAATACCTGGAAAAAAAAGAATCTGGAATCCACATAAGGGTTTGTCTTGAGGTACTGAATCTGCAATTAAAATTATCTGGTATCATAAATGAGAACAAGATTTGAAATTTCAACATTAAGTTAACTTGCTTTAATATGTTGATTAATGACTTAAAAGCTGTTGCATAGTTCTATCTGTATCAACTATATTTCCTACATTTAATATTTTTAATTTTGTTATTTTCAACTCAGTTAAGATTATTCAAGGAGGTTTCGAGAAAATGAAACAGTTCACTGCCATACAATGCTTCCTAAAACACTACTTTGCATGATGTCAATCTGTGAAGAATCAACAATTAGTCCATTACACTCTCTTCAGGCGACAGTTCATCTCTCCAACAAGTACAGTTAGTCCCCAACTTACAGCAGGGTTCCATTTCGACCACTCCAACGTAGCGTGGTTCTGATGTAAGTCAAATATCTTTTTTTTGTTTGTTTGTTTTCACTACTGCCTTTTACTGTCAGTTTCCTTATAAATCAGATCTTTATTCGTCTTTGGAGGTTGGAAACATTACATATAAACATCTGTGAGTGAACATCTGAGAAAGACAACATCAGCAAATCACGCACTGCAACACTGTACGTAGTCCAAAAAAACAAAAACAGTCTAAGCATGGCCCTAAGCGTTCCTCATAACTGGAACACCTCATAAATCGGGGACTATCTGTACTCTGTTTTCCCTGTCTGATAAGGCAGTACTTCTGCATATACCCACACAGAGCATGCTGCTTACCATTCTGGTGTCTTTATTTATCCCAGATAGATCCATCTCCTCATATCCAATAATCTAAGTCCCACCCATCTTTCTTGACACTAGTGATGTTTTGCTTTTCCAAACAGTCCATATTATCACTTTTCGAGCTCTCACAGCAAACTGATGTCATATTATATATTTAAAATACTGTTTATACAGAGTTGGGGGCTATTTGCAACTTTTGCATTCATTCATTCAAAAATCACTCAGCAAATGTATCATTTTTTACGGTTAACTGCCATTTGATCAAACCAGCTGGGGGGACCTGTATCAAACTATAGCGTAGCAGACTGGGACAGTAAACTAATAACCCATGTGAAATGACACACGAAAGCATGCACTAGAGGGCATCCAGCCCAGTCCTTACTGCCTGAATACTGCCACTTAAGGCTCACCACACTGAGCTCCACATGTACCTTACTCTCTGCCCCCACCACTGTGTCCTCACACAGAAGAGAACCTAGCGGACCTCTACTTTCATCCCACGTCCATTTTCTAGCATCATACAACATTCCTAGACTTATTTCTATTTTATTTTAACTTAACCAGATAAGGTGACTGAACGACTATACATAATGGTACTGGCTACCATGTGCTGTATCATGAGGAAATATGGCCGAGTCTCAGTCATAATGGCTTACGGACGTTCCCGAGGCTGCACATAGGGGATCACTAGTGCTCATGCAGAGTAGCACCACAAGACCCACTCATCTCAGCAATGGTGCCACTCCAGCTCGGGTACCCTGCAAGTCCCCCCAGGCACCCGAGGCAGCACTGCCTCAGACTATCTCTCTCTCTCCATGAACAGACTATCCCTTAAGCGTCTGTACATTCACTTTTCAAACTCACTTTCAGGGAAGCACTTTATACAAAATATTACATGTTTACAAAATAAAAGGGACGACTTGTACTCTCAAACACAGTGCTTGGCACCTAGCACACACTCAATAAATACTTATTGAAATTGAGGTGCAATAAAAAACCACATTCTGTGTCCAGTCACAAGTTTTGTACGAACTGAGATTGTGATGCTTTGTATAATCTGTGGACCTTTATGGCAACAACAGAGCATTTCCAGAGTAATTAAGAGTTTACAAATTGATGCCTGTAGATAACCCACTTCACAGACCATTTAGTAGTAACAGTACCAGGGACAGCAGAGACAGTGTTTGCACTCCTTCATTAAGAGATGCCTGTCAAACACACCTTTATTCTCAGTCTCTAACAGCAATTTTCTATCATTGTCAAAACAGCTTTCCAATCACAATTAAAAGGTCACCTCTGTTCCTCCCACCCACAACCTCATAATCTGTAAGGAACGTATTCCTTCACTGACTGACTGAAGACGGAGAATCATTTATTAAAAACACGCATTCCTATATAAGCTATGGTGGGGGGTACTTTGGCCCCAGGCGGTGCTAACAGTAGCGTTCAACCACTAGCTGGAAGGTGGGCGGTCTGAACTCACTCAGAGGCACCTCAGGAGACAGGTGGAGCGACCTGATTCCAACACGTCACAGCCTCGAAAACCCTACAGAGCACAGTTCTCCTATGCCTACATGGGGGCTCACGTGTAGAGAACACAGGAAGGTTAACTACCAATTAATTTCATAGGTTTGGACAATCCCAGTGTTTTTAGACAGAAATCCCGTGCCATTAATCTGAGCAAAAAGGAAGTGAACAGTTTATTCAAGAGAACATGGCAAATGTTCCTAAGTGGGTTTCTTAGCAGACTCTTAAGTGAAAAGTAGATTACCACTAGTAACAGGAAAATGACTTGGTCAAATATATACAAGCAAACCCAGCCAGTGGCATACTGAAGGAGCCAATGCAAGAAAGATTGAATCTGTCTTAGAGGTCATCAGATTAATTCCAAATAACGATTATTTTACAATCTGCAATATTTCATGTTCAAGGCTTATTTGGCAAATTGTCTTCCAAGTAATTCAGTTTGTGTTACTTAAAGATCTACTTGAAGTCAAGTTAACAATTTTAATTATAATCAGCATTTTGAGGTGGGTTTAATATAATCTAGAATTTCTGGGCAAGGGATTGGACCCCTCCCCCACACCATTTTTCCCCCAAATAAACAAGAGAAAATCAGGGGAAAAAATAACAGAGTCCCAAAACTGGTTCCAAATATTACTTCATGAGAACCAGGATACTCAAAATTAGATATGGCAAATAAGTATATTACTTGCAATATATATGAAAGCCTTTTCTATGTTTCACCTGCACTCTGGTCCTGGAGAAAGTATTAAAAATACTGGCATATCCATATACACTTCACGCTACTTGCCTCCTACTAAACTAACTTGGAAACAATCTAATTTAAACTATTTATTTTGCAATACCACTACTGGTAATGCCATTAACCTTACAAGTCACATTTATTTTTTCAAACTCCTACATATGAGGTTGGTACTACTATTGTCGTTTTACATTTTAGGAAACTAGGCACCACCCTTCCTCCCCCCGTAAAACAATCTGCCCAAGGTTGCTCAGCTAATTAGAGGTCAAGTCAAGGAACTGAAATTGTTAACTGTTTGGGACTCTCCAAAGCTGCCCTCCCTCACGAGACCTAAAATTACACTCAGCTATAACAGACTCAATCACAAATTAAGTCGTATTGGATTTCTTTGTCACTGTCACTGTTTTTTGTTTTGTAAATAATAGTTCTAAATGAAACCTCATGTTCTCTACTTTCCAAATCATCCACAAAAAAATGTTTAAACAAATCATAAAAATAGGTCATTTCTATAATTTATGACCATTTTCATATCTCTCTTCTCTTGAAAATAAGGCTTTATGTACAGCATATACAGAAGCCCTGGAAGCTCAGTGGTTAAGCACTTGACTGCTAACTGAAAGGTCAGCGGTTTGAACCCACCAGCCACTCCGTGGGAGAAAGATGTGGCAGTCTGCTTCCTTGGAAACCCTACCAGGCAGTTCTACTCTGTCCTACAGGATCGCTAGGAGTCGGCATCAACTCAACGAAGCGGGTTTGTAGACAACAAGGTGTAGATGGCTTCTAGATCCCTTCCAGCTCTAAAATGTTGCAGAGTCTATGGTTTTAAGCAATTCAAGATAATGTTCTTAGAACACTTAGAGCTGGATGTTCTGTTTTCTATAAGCCATTTCGTTACCTGTTTTATAAAATATTTTATCTCAGTGATTCTAAAGCTTGTTTTACTTATGTTTCATCCCAGTCTAACAACTTTCATCTTTCTTCTAAGTTGTCCAATACCGTAGAATATTTATTTTATTTTGTATTCTTTGCTAAGAATGCATTCAGAAAAACTCAGAACCTAATAAATCAAGTTCCACAAGTAATGCAAAGTAAAATGCTTGAGCCCCCTGATCACTGCATTCTATCATCTAGAAATTTAAACTGAATTCTACAGTCATTAACCAAAAAGTTCACTCACTGGTAAGCCATCCACATTCAATATCTAGTAAACAATGCTGTTTAACGTTTATCATGATAGTGTGTGTCCTCTGGAATGCCTGAAAAGGAATGTATTAACAATTAACAGCAATTAGAAAAGTCCAAGATGTTAAATGACTATGACATTACTCAGTATTAACACATACTGAGAGGCTGATCTTGCAGAGCATTCCGTGTGTGTGCGTGCGTGCGTGCGTGCGTGCGTGCGTGCGTGCGTGCGTGCGTGCGTGCGTGTGTGTGTCCATAAGTTACTGGATGCACATATTTTCAGGGGGAAATCCATTTCTTACGTTAACAAACATGTATCTTGTCCTCCACAGACTGTTATCTATACCGCAGCTATAATGCTGTAACTTCTTAAAGTCTTAAAACACGTGCTTTAGGGGAGCAGGGAAAAGAAAGAACAGGGAAAGAATGAAGTAGTACTGTTTCTTGGGTTGAGTTCTCTAATACACTTACAAAGCGATTTAATTTTAGGATTAAAACACTGTAAATTTTTATCACTATGATTCACCTTGCTGTCATTCTGCTTTTTTTAATGTATCAGTTAAAAGAGTCTTGAACGTTGAAAACCTTGCAAATTCTCGAGCACTGCAAAATACACTAAACTCCAAAGCGCTTCATCATTCATCTCCTACCAAGCCTAAAACTCAACTACCCCTTCCTTCAAACACAGCTGACAAACTCTCTTCTGAAAGGAGTGACTCGTAAGCCATAGAAAATCCACGACAACTACGATTTTTTTTTTTTTTTTTTAATCTAACAAGCTTAAAGGAGCCCTGATGGTCAGTGGTTAAGGGCTACGGCTGCTAAGCAAAAGGTGGCAGTTTGAATCCACCAGCCGTTCCTTGGAAACCCTATGGAGCAGTTCTACTCTGTCCGATGGTTTTTGTTTGTTTGTTTGTTTCTTTTAATTTAACAAACTTAATGTAAGGCGTAGGAAAGGAGTAGAAGGCCAGAGGAGCAACAGACAGAGAAAGGCTGTCAGTCTGTTTACTCCGACTGCACCGCACTGTGCTAATACTCAAAGCTTCCCAAAACCAACTGTTCAAACTGCAGTTTCTGGACACGCTGTCCAAAAAGTTGAATAGCTTCTTCAAACCAATGCACCAAAAAACTCTGAAAAAAAATAACAACTGTCTGCAAATACACTGTACTCCCTCCGCAGAAATTCTTCGAGGTTATCAACAACCCTTAATCAGGCGGCAAAAAAACACCGAATCCTTGCTTGCTGAAGCAAGCTGACACCTTGTTGACCGAAAAGAAAAGGAGGCAGGTTCATCCGCAACAGCCAAACCGCCAGGCCAGGCTTTTACAAAATCAATTCCTCAAACGCTCCCTAAGGTTGACTAAAGAAAGGCTAGATAACGTTCCCCTTAGTGTGATACCTTAGAAAAAAGAACAGGTTGGCGTTCTGGCAACGCAGCACCTCGGCCATATACACCGCGCTCTCGGTAATTCCAAGAGGCCCTCTGCCTCTCCCTTTCCGGGGCAGATACAAAACAGCTTGAATGCGCCCAACATTCTTCCCGTCCCCCAGCTGGCTCAGCTCCCACACTGCCCCGGTCCCCGCGCCCCCGGGCCCCGGCGCCGCCCGGGGGGCCGATCGCGCATCCCCGACCCCGACTCACCTGGTCCCCCCCACGTTCAGCTGGACGATCTCGCCGCTGCCGGCCCCCGGCGCGGCGAAGCTGCCGCAGTGCCCTCCGGCCATCTCCGGGAGCTCCGGGCGCGCACACCGCCCTCCCTCCCCGGCCAGGGCCGCCG